TATATATATATATAAACATTTTATGACAAATATACCTTATCCCATGAATCAACAATACCGGCAAGGACAATGTTTAACATGTGTTTCATGACATAATACACACACTCGTAAGTCTCGAGTTGTCTCCTCGTCTACAAATTTAAGCAATAATTATATGAACATAACCACACATGAATGTAAATGAAAGAAATAGGTAATCGGGCCACTCACTTTAAGAAAGATTCATGCGAGCTTTCTTCTAACATTGTTCATCATAATCACTTGCTCCACAACAATGTACATTGAAAATGAATTAAACATATTACATGATAAAATAATTAAAATGTCAAAGAAAATTAATTAAACATACACTTACGAATTCATAATCTCTTTCATTTTTTTTCCGAGTGGATCATTCAAGGAAAACAATACAGTTATCGTATTCGTCTTAAATAATATGATGATTAATTGCCAATGACCACTGAATAAACACGAGCATATATATTATTAGTATTTGCTAAAACAAAACTAAATATAGAATACATAAACATTAATTACAAAAATACTTACGAACAGAGAAATGGTGCTAAGTAACATTCTTCTTCCTCCCTCATTTAACCATTTTTTCTAGTAGTCTTGAATGTCTTTTGGTTGATTAAATGTCCATCAAATAAAAAGCGGATCCAAGATTCCATAAATACTCTATTTATTTAACTCTATACAAACACGATGAATGTAACTAAATGGAAATGAAGATGTTTCTTCTCTCGTTAATCCTATAAAGTACATTTTTTCCATTTTTCCTATTATAAAAAGCGAGTGTCACTTAAGTTCATAAATAATTAAAAATTATTTAACCACGGTTTTACTATACAACCATTATAATAAGATCTACAATTCATTGTGGTTGAAATTAAAAGTTGTGGTCAAAGGTTTTCCTGATAATTAAAATAAAAAGATTCATTATTTCTTTCATAACATGTCCTAAGCGAACTAGCGAACCAGCGAATCAGAGACGACAACGACATTGATAGCAAAATATTCATCTTCACAATCTTCATTCATTTGAATCTTGATTATTGATAATCTTCACTATCTTCATTCTTGGTCTCGTCCTCTTTAAAGTACGGTGTGTTTCATGCAAATTTCACTCTCTTCCTCATCTTCCTAATTCTTGATAATCTTTTCTATCTTCATTCTTGTTTGATTTTATGGTCTTTTTCGTGCAAAGTTCATATGTTTTATGTTTTGTTGTTAGATTTAGTAGTGAACAAAAATATTATAACTTTGCTACAATGGCTATCCATATGCTTAAAATTTAGAGTTGTATTATTGTTATGAATGTGCTTTAGTTTTTCGATAACCTTTAGGTTTAGATTTTGTTGTGTCGTTCACAATATTGTTTTGAATTTTGATATAAATTTCTGAATTTATTATAGATCGTAGTTGGATAAAAGCTTATAGATTAGATCTGATATATGAGAAAGGAGTTCTTGAATTCCTTGAATACGCTGATCAAAATCTTCCCGAAAATAATGGTATCTTTTATTGTCCTTGTGTTAATTGCGGGAATATATATAAAGGTACAAAGGATGAAATATTCCATCACTTATGTTGTGATGGTATATGTCAAAATTATACAATATGAACATGGCATGGTGAGGTGGAAAAAAAAGCGAAACATGGCGTCACAAAGTCACGAAGTTGGTGAAGATGAATATATGGATGACCGACTAGAAGATATGTTCCATGATATTGAAGAATCTTCTCTTAAGGAAACCCATATTTATGATACTTTATATAGTGATAAGGACACCCATTTATATAAGGGTTGTACAAGCTTTACACGATTGTCTACAGTGTTAAAATTGTTTGAATTAAAAGCAAAAAATGGGTGGTTGGATGAAATTTTCACGGAATTGATTTATTTGCTAAAACAAATGTTACCAGAAGATAACAATTTGCCTGATCGTTGTAATGATGCCAAGAAGATATTGTGTCCAATGAGTTTTGAGTATATCAAAATAAATGCATGCCCTAATGACTACATATTATACAGAAAAGAGTATGAAAATTTGGATCAATGTCTGAAATATGGGGTGTTGCATTACAAGCTGAAGGACAACAATGGTGATAGAAATGACAATGAAAATGTTAGTAGGAAGATGCCTCCTGCTAAAACGTTATGGTATTTGTCAATAATTTCAAGATTCAAGATAATTTTCTCTAATATGAATGACGTAAAGAATATTATATGATATGCAAATGAAATAAAATGTGATGGAAACATATGCCATGTAGCTGATTCTTTGTAATGGAAGAAAATTGATTTGTTGTTTCTGAATTTTGGCACTGAGCCAAGAAACCTCAGGCTTGGATTTTCCACCGATGGAATGAATCCTTTTGGTAATCTGATTACCAATCATTCTTTTTGGCCTGTTATTCTCACGATTTACAACCTATCTCTTTGGTTATGCATGAAGCATAAGTATACATTGTTAAGTATTGATGATTTCTAGATCACGACAATCTGAAAATGACATAGGTGTTTATCTAATTCCATTAATTGAAGATTTAAGAATTTTATGGGAGGAAGGCGTTGAAGTTGTTGATGCATATTCTGGTGAAAAGTTTAAGATGCGTGCAATGTTATTTTGCACAATCGACGACTTTCTTACATATGGTAATTTGGATGGATATAGTGTCAGATACAAAGTGTGTCCTATTTGTGAATATGATACCTGTTATCACCAACTTGAGTTTGGAAAAAATATCGGTTTATCTTGGGCATCAAAAATTTCTAAAACCCGGTCATTCTTATCATAGATTGCAGAAGTATTTTAATGGAGAGCATGAGTTTGATATCGCTCATAAAACTTTAATTGAGGATGAAGTTTACCAATGATAAAAACAGATTAATGTTGTCTTTGGAAAGAGAGAAAAAGAAAAAGGGTCAGTTGAGAAAAATATATGGAAAAAGAGGTCGGTGTTCTTTGACTTTCCATATTGGCCAAGTCTCTATGTAAGACATTATCTTGATGGGATGCATGTGGAGAAAAATGTGTGTGGTAGTTTGATTGGAACACTTCTACACATTCTAGGAAATACTAAAGATAGTAAGCAATCTTGTCTCAATATGGAGGCAATGAGTATACGAAAACAATTGGCTCCAATAGAAAAAGGAAAAAAAATGTATCTGCCTCCGACTTGTTACACTCTATATAAAAAGGAAAAGAAAAGTTTTCGCAAGTATTTGCATGGTATTAAAGTTCCCCAAGGTTACTCATCAAACATAGAGAAACTTGTATCAATGAAAGATCTCAAGTTAGTTGGTTTGAAATCTCATGATTGTCATGTCTTGATGCAACAACTTTTACCAATGGCTATCTGTGGCATCCTACCAAAAAATGTGGGAGTAACTATAACCAGATTGTATTTTTTCTTCAATACCATATGTAATGAAATTCTTGATTTCAAAAAATTGGATGAATTAGAAGATTAAGCTGCCATAATCTTGTGTCAATTGGAGATTTATTTTCCTCTATTATTTTTTGACATTATGGTTCACTTACTTGCTCATCTAGTCAGAGAAATCAGAATTTGTGGTCCAATTTATTTAAGGTGGATGTATCCAATAGATCGATACATGAATATATTTAAAGGATATACGAAGAATCGTCACCGACCAGAAGCTTCAATTGTTGAAAGTTACATCGCAGAAGAAGCTGTTGAGTTTTGTACAAACTATTTATCGGAAGCATAGTCTTTAGGAATTCTAAAGTCTCGTCATGCTGACACTGAAGGTAGAGGTATTCAAGGTTTAAATGTTAAGTCAATGGCTCAGGATGTAGTTATTTAGGCACATTTTTATATATTGAATAATCTTGAAGAAGTTCAACGCTACATGACTACTCACAAAAGACTTTTGAAGAAAAGATATCCATGAATGAGTGACAAGTTGCTGTTGATTGAACATAATGAGAAATTCCTAGATTGGTATAATAAAAGGATACTAAATGATCATAGTGCATCCGATATAATTAAATGGTTTTCGTACATGCCAAAATTTAATGCCACTTGCTCGCCTAGCGAACTGCTAGCGAGCACAAACAGAAGCTCCAGACTTCGTTCGCTACCTTGTTCGCCACAGCGAACCTTCAGCGAGCTCTTCGCTACTCCATTCGCTGCTAGCGAAGGAGACCAAAACACCATTGTCCTAAGTTTGGGACCGTTCGCTACACACTTGCCTAGCGAGCTGCTAGCGAGTGCTCGTGACCTGCTCGCCTAGCGAGCTGCTAGCGAGGGTCTGCAAACTGAACTTTCTCTCACTATTCAAAATTCAAAACAGCCGATAAAATCACCCGATTCTATTACGACTCGTTCCAATAGTCTTAACCTAACATTCCCCGACATAAATTATACCACTTATTCTCATTTTCATCGACAAAACTAGATTTTTACCGATTAAATCAATTTCGACCTAGAAATGGAAAGTGTAGAAAAACTACCAAACATTCCAAACAACACATACATAATCATACACATCGCTAAGATAATAATATTTCACACCCTTACCTCGATTAATCGGAAGCTAGAAGTTGTTCATGAGCATTCCCAAGTTTTTCCTCTTTCTCTTCTCTTTCTCTCCTCCTTCTTTCTTTCTCTTGTTTTTCTCCCATGTTTTTCTATCTTTTTCTTTCCTTTTTCTTTTCCTTACATATCTTTCCCTTCTATTTCTCTCCAATATTTACCAATTCACTATCCTCATAAAATATCTCATCTCATCATTTAATTAGAGAATATCTAGTAACCCACATTATTCTACCGAATAGAATAAATCTGTTAAATTCGTCAATTAAATTAAATCCATTAAATCACATATACCAATTAATTAATACAATTAATCAATTATTGAAAATTAGGCTGTTACACCACGCATTGGAGATGTACAATTTTTCGGTTGCTGCGAAAAGTGAATCTTCATATCAGTAACTATAACATGGATAAATTAAAGTGGCATATCAATAGCAAACATTACCTGAACTTTGTTGGCACATGGCATGAGTGATGACGATAATAGTCGGGCCATGTGTGGTTTTCTCATTTGTGTAGGCCATAAACTGAGTGGCATATGCTTCCCACAGAGTCATATCAATTTCAGAACCACTAATAACAAACAAGGAGAAGTAATTAATAGGCATTAATCAAATAACAAATAAAGATATAAATAAGGCATTATATGATATATATACATTTCATCGAATATGACAAGGTTGACGCAAGCCTTCTTTCCGCCACCCGCAACTTGAGTCTTCACAATTTCGTGGAGCACACCTATCACATCTGATTGAAAGAAAGGACAAATAGTCAGAATAAGGATTTTCAATAACATGTCATCAAGCTGGTAATGTGAGGAAAAAACATTGTGAATACCATATAAGCGATTTACTCGAAAATCTCCGCGTGAGAAATCAACAATGGGTTTGAAACAAAACTGATAAGCATACATTTCTGGCATGTCAACCACCGTTACAGTGGTACCACCATTGAAGACAAGCTTCAACGGGTTGTCACATACTTTCAAGGCAAGATCATTGTTTAACGGGTCACCATTATAAACCATGACAGTTTGATGTTCTCGTAGTCTCTGCTTCCATAAATCGAAATCCCTATTGCGAGTCACGACGTGCATTTTGTCACACTATGAATGAAACCAACTGTTAGGGCACCTTGTAAGTTTAATAACTGTAACATGACATATTAACATTCTATAATAATAAATGTATACCTTGTTATCTTGGAGAACACCTTCAAAGTGTTGTTGTCCGTTACGGTCCTTCACAATCCACAAATCAACGACACGAGTTGCAAGCTTCCATACGTTATTACCTATCTTCAAATCAACAATCATAATGGGTGCCCTATACATATTGTTCTGAAAAGTACAAACAACACAAAAAAAGAAGTAACAACACCATTAGCAAAAATGTTGAACATAAAAAAGCTGATAAATGAAAAATGAAAAACCTGTCTTGAAACATGAAAAATGCTGAATATAAAATAACATGGTTTCAATAAGCAAAAATATATAACAAATTGTTACATTGGCGAAAAACCATGAATGAACAATGGAAAAATCAGTCGCAATGGAAAAACAAAAGTCGTTGAACGGTGAACCGTGCGTGAAATACCAGAGTTGCGGAAATATCGTGTCGAAGGATGAACGTCTTTGATTTTATGCTTGTCGTGCGTGAAATACCAGAGTTGCGGGGAGAAAGACGAGAGAAAGCAGGAAACTTGGTGTTTGTATGAGAGTTGCAGGGGAGAAAGACGAGAGAAAGACTGGGGAAAACTTTTTGAGCTGGTGAAAGAGTGGGAAAGAGTGAGTTGGTAAAGAGAAAGAATAGACCAATTGGAGAGGGGCAAGTGGATGAATGGTGAGGTTTTGAGCATTTGAAAGAGTTGATTTTGTTATTTACTATTTTGTCCCTGAGTTGGGCATAATCAATTTTGATGTGAAGGGTATAATGGGTAGAATGGTGGACATCAAGTTTTATGGATAGGTAGTTGATTGATGTCAATTTGATTGCAAATTGCGGAAGTCACTGTCAATGATGGTTGTCTCCTTTTACTGTCTCATTTTGCAGTCGCAGTAGCATTTCACGCATGTTGTCTTTTCACTTCAATCAAAAATCATGGTGAATCTAGATGGCTGCAATATTGGGTAAATATCTAGATGTTACTCGTCTCTAGTTGCACTTTGCTTTGAGTATTAATTTAAAATTGGAATCAACATCAATAAAAACATAAGATAAAAACTATACATATTTTTTGAAGCATCTGAAGAAAAGTGATACTTAGTCAAGGATATTTTGGTTCTGATGTACAAGTCATGGATATTTAGAACACATTCATTCATGTCAGTAGGTTTATAAATGATGAAGTCATAGATGTCTGAATTTTGTAACATCATAAATGCTCTCTCTATTCATTTCCCTTTAGGATCTTCATGAAGATCATGAACCATTGCATTCACTCTCATTCTACAAAATAAACTCTTCATTTCATTACATATTATAAAGTCTGGATATTTTTAGAAGTAGGCGTGTCACGGTGTTCGACTCTTATATGACATTCATATGACACGTGTTGAAAAAGTCAAAAAAAAGTGTTTATTTAAAGATTTTTTTGTTTAACACTCTTCGAATCAATGATTGACACGCAAATGTCATTCATAACACATACGTTACACAATTCAGATAAGTGTTTCAAACAAAAATTTGTTGTTTTTTTTTCTTCAATGTAATTTTATATATATTTTGGACAAATCTAACACAAATTTAAAATTGTTAAAAAATAAAGTAATATTAACAAATATTTTCTTAAAAAATTTTTAAAATCAAAATGGATAAATAAAACTGAAATATTTTCTTATATATATAGACATCAGTGTTCTATATTTTGACATTATCAATATCGAAATGTTCGTACAACATCGTGTCCCAGTATTTTTGTCGAAGTCGGTATTTGAGATGTACGGCTACTATTACCGAATATCTTAACAATACTTTGGAGAGCTAATTACATTATTCTATCTTCTTTTATTGTTCTTATTCTCATGTAGTAGCTCAACAATGGTTCCACTTAATAATAAATGAGTTTCTCTTGATTGAACAATGTGTGTGTTTAAATGGTGGAGTTGAGGAAATTTAAAAAAACGATGTTAGTTGAAATTTAAATAAATTTGGTGGAATATAATAAAATAAATAATTGTGCACTTTAAATGATTAAAAGTGGTTGCAACATTTATCTAATTAATTCAAGGAATAATTTAAACCAAAAAAAAAATCTATGGAGTACAGCCAAAAACAAATGAATTTTGACCCTTCATTCTTGGCTAACATTTTCCAAATATTATAACATAGCAGTTCCGTAACACCACGTGGAACATTTCATATTATTTATTTATTGTCATTATATCAACCACTCAAATCTTTACGCTATGCAATGTTTTTTGTCAAGAAATAAATTTCATTGCACGTCGTCTTTTTGGACTTTGCTAGTCCTTGATTAGAATTTAATTATTATTTAAAAGAAGTAAAAGCTTTTGTTTAAAATTCTTAGTTTTGTTCTTTAAATTTAGTTTGATTTGAATTTCATCTATTTATAACCTTATAATTTTTATTGATATAGAAATAAAAAAACATAACTCTATACTAATTATTATGAATCAAATATGACATCGACTCAAATCATTTATATTCATAGCAAAATTTAATTAGAATAAAAGCGAAAGTATATTTGAAATTGACATTGAAATTATTGAAGGTTTGCGGATATGTGATCTTCTGATATATATAATTTTTTATGATTCTTTGATTCTCTTCTGATGTGAATGAAGGAAAATTATAATAAATTGTAACTCAAATAAATAGTCTTAGCGTTATTTCTTAATTTTCAATAATCTATGTTGGTTCTCTATCAAATTAAATATTGACATATGATATCTACATAATAATCTTACCTTTCATAATATATACAGTTTTAGTCACATATTTAATATTAATTAGACCACTATAATTTTGGTTAGTTAAATAATGACCCTAAATCATATAAAATGAATCATTTACACCTTTTTATAACCAAGAAACGAGTTAGGAATAGGCATGTCATCAAGTATGTGGATAGGCTTTTGGGAGGGTGAGGGTGAGTGATCAACAATTTTGAAAGGAAAAAAGGACTCATAAAAGATCATTTTTTAAAAGAAAGGTGTCATAACTAGATAAATCATATAAAATGAATCATGTAACACCCTCTTTAACACCAAGAAACGTAGACTTTCTGCCTCTAGAATCGAATTTTGTTCTATGGGCTTGGGAGGAAGTGGCATAACACAAGCAACCAAACACTTTTGAATGCATATAAGAGGGAGGATGCTTAAAGAGAAGCTCGTAGGGACTATGGGATTTTAAGAAGGGTGATGATAACCTATTGATTATGTGAACGACATGTTGCACACAATAATTCTACATAGACAAAAGGACATTAGAGTGGAAATGAAGGGACCTAGCCACATTTAGAATGTGTTGGTGTATTCTTTCCACCACACCATTTTTTTGTGGAGTCTCAGGGTAATATTTTTGGTGAAGGATACATTTGGATGAAAGGAAAGGTGCTAAGGTTAAAAACACAGTACCATTATCAAATCTGAGGCACTTAAGAGTGGTATTAAATTGATTTTCAATAAAAGCAACAAAGTTAATATGGCTACTCTTGGTTTGCTCTTTGGTTTTAAGGAAGATCACCCAAGTGTATCTACTAAAATCATCCACTAATGTTAAGAAATATCTTTGTCCTAAAAGTGAAATGGTAGAATAAGGACCCCATAAATAAGCATTTAACAATTCAAAAGGGGCAGTAGTATGAATGTTACTAGAAGGGAAAGAAAGTGTTTTTTTTTGTTTTGCATTATGGCATGAATCACCAGGTGCCAAAGTAGGCTTACAAGGAATGAAAGGAAAAATTCTAGGAACCGTTTTTAACCCAATATCAAATATGTGGCCTAACCTGGAATGTCAAAGTTCATATGAATTACTATCAGCAGAATTAAAATAGAGGTGTGCATAAAGGATTCAAGGATGTAGAGACCTTTGTCCAAATTAGCTACACCAATTAGTCTCTTGGAGGAGTTCTGCAGAATATGGCATGTATTAGCAAAGAAGGACAAATGACGATTGAGATCATTAATAAGTTTGACTACATATACAAGATTGACATTAAATGAGGGAATATAAAGGACATTATGGATGATAAGGGAGGGACCGAGGGTTATGCTACCAGATATAGAAGCGGTAATGTTAGTACCATTAGGTAAAGTGACGGGAATGGTTTTAATGTGTTGGTGTGACACAGAAGCAGTGATGTTAGTGCCATTAGGTAAAGTGACGGGAATAGGTTTAATGTGTTGGTGTGACACAAAAGAGGCAAGGTGATATATGATATGGTTTGTGAAACCTGTGTTAAGAATTCAAGATATTGTATGCTTACCAGTTTTAAGAGAAGAATTTGTGTGCATAGTCAAAGGTGTGCTGGTGATGGAATTAATGGTATGGTGAGTCCTTGACTATTGAAGAAGCTCTAAGATGTTGTTGTACTGCTTTTGCGTGAAACCAAACCTAGAATTTGTTAAACCACCTGAAAGAGTGTCAGAAACATTATTGGCAGAGGAATTTGCCCATGGCTTGGTCTTGAACCCCGTTGGATAGTCATGCTTAATAAAACATGTTTCCGCCGTGTGATTAGTGCGCCGACAATGTGTGCAAACATGATTAGGTTTGGAGGAAGAAGGTTTGCCTTTAGAATTAGGGTGTCATGGTTTGTTCCTACCATTGTATTTGGTGTATTTGATTTGAGATGTAGCAATGGGATCATTGGTGTCATCAGAAGGAAAATCAAAAGAAAAGGGGAGATTGGCTTCGCGCTCCTATTAAATCAGAATAGAGAAAGTGCAGTCAATATTTGGAAGAGGTGTCATCATCATGGTCTGATACTTTGATGATGAAAACTTTTCATTCAAACCTTTCAAGAAACGAATTACATAATCTTCGTCGTGGTGTTTCTTGATAAAAGAAGTGGCTTCACACGTACATGAAATGGCACAAGAACAAGATAATATTGGTCGATAGGATTCCAAGTCATCCCAAAACATCTTCAACTGAGAGAAGTAATCCGAGACAGATAGAGTACTTTGTCGGAATTTGTAGACATCTTCTTGAATATCAAAGATATGAAAAACATCGCTCTGAGCGAACCGCATGCGAACATTCGTTCAAACACTGGAAGCAATTTGAATCCAAAGAACTAATTTGGCAATAGACTCAGAAATGGAACGAAAGAGCCACACAAGAACCATGGTATTGCATCTGGTCC